GGGGGGGGGGGGGGGGGGTGTCTCGTACAGATCGGCCTATCACACACACACTGACACACGCACCGAGCTCGAGTTTCCATAACCCATATCACGGCTGGGTAGGGTCAGGCCGTGCCGTCTACTTAGCCTTGGGGTCCACAGCGGCCCACAGGCACGCATCCGCTCTAATAGACATTCCATAGCACTCCACAGCCCATCTCAGGGCTGGGTAGGGTCTGGCCGTGCCCCATCTCCTCAGCTTTGGTGTCCACAGCAGCCTTGGGGCAGACATAACCACTCGTCAATCCATCGCACATATCCGGGCTGGGTAGGGTCAGGCCGTGCCTTCTACTCAGCCTTGGTGTCCACAGCCGCCTTCGGGCACATTCACCTGCACACATAACCATCTGAGGAGGCCAATCAGGGGGCTAGTATTTCGAACGTTGGAACCTGACGCCCAAAGTTGTCGCGAGGCTCGTCTGACCCTGCTTCAATTAGGGCTGGGTAGGGTCAGGCTGTGCCATCTACTCAGCCTTGGTGTCTGTCCCTGCTATTCGGTCCAAGTCACCCTCCACGTTGGTAGGCTGAGTGCTTCACACTGAGGTAGGGGTTAGCGGAATTAAAAGGGGGTGCGTTGGGAGAATTTGTGAAGGATTGGTTGGGAGGTAGCCTCCTCATTGTCAGGCCACCCAATGGTAGACTGGGGGTGTGCTGGGAGAATTTGTGCAGGATGGGTTGGGAGGTAGCCTCCTCATTGTCAGGCCACCCAATGGTAGACTGGGGGTGTGCTGGGAGAATTTGAGAAGGATGGGTTGGGAGGTAGCCTCCTCATTGTCAGGCCACCCAATGGTAGACTGATACTGCCACTGGCGCTTGTCTAGCATCCGGTCTCTACAACACCCTGGGCTTTCAAATAAAAAAGAAAAGAAACAGGGAAGGACAATTAGAAAGACCTGAGGGGAGGCACAGGGATCGGTCCTGTTTGCATGGTCCCTGATGCTACCGGCTGTCCCCTCGCCGGTATCGCCCACCTGCAGGTCGGGAGCAGCCCCCGCATGTTCTCTCATGAACACGGTTCTGGCTGCTACGGGGTTCCCCGTAATATATGACTATAATTAGGAGTAGTGGTAGGTACTAGGTAGGTAGTGTGAGGTGAAATTGAGAGAAGAATGTAGCTTAATTTTTAGTTGAAAAAAAAAAAAAAAACCTTATTCGTTCTGTTCTCTCAAAAAGCCTCCACAGGCCCGAGCACAGTTGGTACACCCACGAACTGTTGAAATATGAATCAGACCCAAGTTCGAATCCAGATACTGTCAGGTGACCAGAATAAAAGCATTCTGAATTATCTTGGGCCGGTTAGTTCAAGGATGATATCTCAAGGCCGCTGCCATTTCCTCCCCCCCCTCCTCCAAAAGCACCTGATGATTTATCTATAGTCAGTGATCCGATGTCCAAAGCCCAGTGTCTGAGGGCATACTCACACTAGGACCTTTTTTTTTTTTTTTTTTTTAGTACTATGCCATATTCTTCGCTCAAATTATCTCAAATTATCTCAAATTTTATCAAAAGGGGGTTGCAGCATGAGTTCTCCTAGACCAGTGTCTAGTATTTAAGAAAAAGAGTGTTGCAGCATCAATTCTCCTAGATCAATGTCTAAGAGATTGACTGTCATGGATTAGGGCAAATATATCATGGCTACGCCGGACCTGGACCTGGACATTTCCGGACATGGAACCGGACCCGTGTCCGGTAGTTTCCGGACGTCGGAATTCCGGACCTCCGGACATGGGGGATCCGGACGGGCCGGATGTCTGAACAGGTCCGGAAATGTCCGGACCATTAAAAAAAAAAATCTGAAAAAAAAGTATGTTATGCAGAATAACAATGCAAACCACTTTTGCCTCAGAGTCATGTCAGAATTCCTAACCAAACTTGAGTTAAAAGTCAAAAACTATAAAAAGCTTAAAAAAAGACTTAAAAAGTTAAAAAAACTAATAAAAGGTAATGAATTATTCATAATAAAAAACTTGGGGTTGCCTAATAAATTATTACAGAGAGAGAGAACGTCAGGACCCCCCTAAAAAGCATAAACGGGCCTGAAAAACCCCCAAAACAATTTTGGGGGCTTGGCTCCTCAATGGGGAAGGGTCCTGGACCGTTTCCCCCCCCCCCCCCCCCCTCGAAATTTGGCAGATCCGGACCGTCTGGACCGGACGTCTGGAGTCCGGACCGAATCCGGACCGTCTGGACGGCGGTCCGGACGTCCGGATCGTAGCCATGATATATATTTTCTTTGTTTCGTGGATGTTTTGCTGGCTTGTGATGGGGTGTGAACCGGCAGTCTCTAGAGTTTTCCATCTGGTGTGGGTGAGTGATAGTCTACTTTGATTTTGGTTAAGGTAGATTATCATTTACAGTGTAATCAGTGAGGGGACTCTGCAGACTGTTGAGGGTTCAGCCTCCTGATGAGTCGGTGAAACTCCGACGAAACAGTTTGTCACAGCCCCTCGTTTGTTGTCCTCTTCTCTCTCTCTCTGCCTACGGTTTACCGGGCAGTTCTGTTTGTGACGATATATTGTCATATATATATATCGTCACAAACAGAACTGCCCGGTAAACCGCAGGCAGAGAGAGAGAAGAGGACAACAAACGAGGGGCTGTGACAAACTGTATATATATATATCTAATTGAGAAAAAGTGTGGTGCTAAAAAAAAAAAGAACTGTGGTGCAACATTGATTATCCACCCAGGTAAAAAATACCTAGGAGATTGAGTGCCACTGCTTCCACCCAGGTTCGTACTCATCCCCACTGCCTCGTCAGCCAAACAGGTCCCAAATTTTCAATTTGCACTAGTACTATCCATGCCAGGAGACTTCGACCGGCAACTTGGAACGCCCTGTGAAGGGTTCAAAGAAAGTTTTTTTTTTTAATTTTATAACTAAGCTAAATTCTTCTCTCAATTTCACCTTTCACTATCTACCTACCACTACTCCTACGACTATACAGGGGACCCCTGCAAGCATAGTTAACTCTCACAATTTCTCAGCCCCCCCTCATTGGAAATCATTTTTTTTTTTGTTTTCTCTTTTTTTTTTTTTGTTTTTTTTTTACCAATCATGAAACCACAGATGCATCCATTTCAAAGTTGCCACATCCCCTTTAAACCACCAGTACTTGGCCCAGCTATCGGCCGTGGAGAAAAATAGAGTAGAAAGGTTTCTAGTCGGATGAATTTGGGCGCTCCTGTAGTGGCCCATACGTTTCCTAAAATCGTGGCTTGTTAACCGGCACGACTTTTGGAAGTACTGGTGGTTTAAATCACCAGTATGTTTCCCAGCCATTTTCCTCCGATGCGGCATGCATGCATGCAGCCGCAAGTTTCGGGGGTTGTGGCAATAAGAGCAAGCAAAACGGCTGGCTCCGCAGGCCAAAAGAAGGCCCGTGCCAGTTTTTTTTTGGGGGGGAGGGCTCGCAGTGCTTTTCGAGGCTTGGCAAGGGAAGGGTCAAAAGTACTCGGGGGTTTAATCTCTGCAATTGAACTCCTTCCTGGGACACCAAGCCATTTATCCGAAAAGTCTCTAATTTTCCCCATTCTTCCTTGATTTTTTCAATTTTTGTTTTCGTTTTTTCTAATAAACTACGGTGCTATGTTCTTCGGTCAAATTCTCTCAAATTCACGTTTCACTACATACCTACCACTACTCCCAAGGCTATACAGCGGGCCCCTGCAAGCAACCAGCTGAGATAGTCAGCTTGATTGGCCTGGTCGGTATCGGTAGGGTCTTTGGCCGTCACGGGTGTGAGCGTGAGTGTGGGTGGGTTGTGTGTCGTGTATTGGAGAGTGCTGGTCTTAGACACTGCTGTTGCTCGGTAGAGGTGGGAGACAATGAAAAGGGAGGCACAGCTATTGGCAATATGCGCGGTCTTTGTAGTAGCCGGGCAGACAACCGTAGGGTGTCATTTTTGAAGCCCTGCAGTCGTCATTGGTTGGGGTGCTGGCCGGCATGCGCAGAGGCCAGAATCTGTGCTAATAAGCTTATGCATCTAACTTGTCTCAAAACTCACACAAAAGTGACAAAACACATACCTTCAAAACCAATCACACAAAACAACATATCTTCCTGTGTGAGTTGTTTCGAAGATATGTTTCCTGTGTGAGTTGTTTCGAAGATATGTTTCCTGTGTGAGTTGTTTCGAAGATATCTTCAAAACAACCTATTCCCGCAAATCAGTTCAGTTATCTGAGATCGACGAAGAAGGTGAAAATGCCTTGAAAAGATCTGTATGTCCATTTTCCAAAATGAAAACAAAAAAACAAATCCGCAATTCCACCTTCCACCGCTTTTTTAGTTTTTTTACATTAGAAGAAGTGAGTATTGGGAAAAAGAAAAAGTGAGTATGGATGAGCTGCTGGTGGATTTTCCTTTCATTTTGACATTTGCCAGCTTGTTTCTAACGTGAGATTTTTACGTGCGCCCCTCTCTCTCTCTCTCTCTTACACCTCTCTCTCTCTCTCTCCCAGGTGGGTGCGGATAAGCTAGCAGAATTGGTCGGTGTCACACTAGGACCGAAGGGACGCAACGTTGTGCTAGAGAGCAAGTATGGTCCGCCGAGAATTGTCAATGATGGTGTCACTGTGGCAAAAGAGGTAAGCTTTTGTCTTTTGTACGTTTTTTTTTTCTATTTTTTCTATTTTTTCTATTTTTTCTATTTTTTTGATTTTTTCTTTTCTTTTCTTTTTTCAGGCTGATTTTTTTTCCCTTTCCCCTGATTACTGCAAGGTAAGAGAGAGCATTGCATCAATCTTGGCTGCGTAATCCATGAGGGTCTATGGAAGCTGTCAATTATTTCAATTTATTTGTTTATTTATTTTTAAAATTTAATGATTGTTACATTTGTTATTACGTATAGGTTTTGAAAAACGGCGTATGGATCTGATTCATCAGTATTTGAATTTTGAACTCATCATCATCTGTTCACCTTTCTGGCAACATCCCAATCTATTGCTCTTTTTGTTGGGAGAAGTTTGCCACTCCAATTCCTTCGTTTCCCTTTTTTTTTTTTGATGTATTTGGACGATTTCTACATCATGCATGTTATCCTTAGGTGCACAGGGGCCATGTGTCTTTTTTTTTTTTTTTTTTTGGACCATTTTTCTTGACATCTTTCCAATTTTAGGGGAGGGCTTTGATGTCCGACGGGCTGCCACTCCACTTCCTTGTGGTGTAGGTCCCCTCTCCGTAGCATCATGTTCGTGTTTGGCGACCGAACGTGGATGGGCACCAAAACCCTCCGAACGCGGAAAGAATAGAAAAAAAAGTTATCAACGAAATCTGGAAAAACAATGTTATGTAAAATAATAATACAAACAATTTTTGCGTTGGAGGCATCTCTAAATTCTTAGCTAAAAGTGAGTTAAAAAAAAAATCCAAAAAAAAAAATACGTTCGTGTTTAAAAAAAAGAAAGAGGAAAAGAGCACATCTGAACGTATTCGGCTGAACAAATTCCCAAACAGGAGAACAAATTCCCAAACAGGAGAACAAATTCCCAAACAGCAGAACACGTTCATGTGTTTGCGAAACCCCCTAACATGGTCGCCATGCTACACAGGTTCCCTTCTACATTGTTTTTTTATTTGTTTTTTTTTTAATAATTTAAGAATCATTTCATATTTGTCCTTCGGTACGTCCGTTAAAATTGGAATGAGGCAGAGAAGGTTAGCATAGCCCCTGTGCAAGGATGACTTGCATAAATTGCACAATGGTTCCCCCCCACCCCCACCCCCCCCCAAAAAAAGAAAAGAATCATTTCGTATTCTTTCGTTCTCCCTTACTGCATCTTCCTGAAAATGAAATGGGTCTGTTCGTGCAGGTTGAGTTGGAAGACCCTGTGGAGAACATTGGCGCAAAGCTTGTCCGTCAGGCAGCGAGCAAGACAAATGACCTTGCCGGTGACGGAACAACGACCTCCGTTATTCTCGCACAAGGTCTCATTGCCGAGGGGATGAAGGTATGTGAAATAACAGTGGAGTTTTAGGCTCGGCTGCCAGAATGGCCCAGGATCACTTGCCTGGCCGGACCAAAAAAAAAAAAAAACTGTATTTTTTATTTGGAATTTGATAAAGAAGTTCGATGTGACCCTCAGGCAAAAGTTTTGCAGTTTATTTTTGTGCATAACATAGTTTTTTTTCAGCTCTTTTTTTTTGCTGTGACCTTCTTTGGTCCTTGCACGGCCGGGCCGCCCGGGCAAACAAGGTGACCCGGGTTGGAATGGGGGAGTGTAAGGAGAAATAGA